GGGGGGGGGGGGGGGGGGGCTACTTGGAGGCTCGCGGCGATCATGGGGGCTACCCCAACCACCTCAATTGAAAGGGAAGGGCAAGTGATCAAGCTAGCAATGGCGATGACATTGTACATTGTGGGATTGTGGGGAGACTTGCGAGACCTACGCAGAGAACGGGGTTCTTCTGGACGTGTCCGAAGGCCAATGCTGGAACCGATGCGGCCAATTTGCAAGTTGCTTGAAGCGTTCCAAGGGGTTGCGTCGATGGATAAGTTGGACCTGGATAAGTTCGTCTTCACCAACTACAACCTCAGCAGCTTGAAGCCAGGGTGTCAGGCTGAGGAGGGGACAAGATGAGGCTCGAATGGAGAATGGCCGCTTATCTGGAAGCAAGAAGTGGCGAGGGCGATGCGCTACAACCACTTCAAGGATGAGGAAGACGGCTATCTCAGAGCCATGTCCGCAGAACAATGGAAGGAACATGTCCGAGCTGGACATTACCCTGCGCGACGGGATTGTCTTCAGTGTGTGGTCCATGGTGCAACGGGACATCGTCACACAAGGATCGAACACCCTTCGCTGTTTTGCCTCAATGTGGACATCACCGGACCTTTCAGGACTACGGGAGAAGACTCGAGTGAGCTCGAGGGGACAGCGCGAATGAAGTACCATTCCCGAGTCCGTTTGAGCCTATTACCGGATGTGAGCCCCAGGAAGAAGAAGTTGACGACCACGATCCTTTTGAGGAAGAGGCTAAAGAGCCCCAGAGGGAGGTGGGTGTGTCTGATAGTGATGATCGGGATCCTGGTGGCGCCGTCGTGAGCATGGACTCCGAGGGTGTGGACGAGGACTATGACTGGAGCCGGAGTCGGACCGTTGTTGCTCCAAAGGCTACTTACCTTCTGTTTGCCGAGCCTCTTCTCAATGACAAGGGCCCCACCATTGCCTCAGCGATTCAGCCGATTGTCTTGTACCTTCAGAGCCTGAATATACCGGTGCTGAGATTTCATAGCGACCGAGCTGCTCAGCTAACGGCGAGGCCTTTGGTTCAATGGCTGCGTCAACAGGCTATGAGGACCTCTACGAGTACTCCTGGAGTTCCACAAGGCAATGGAGGAGCAGAGTGCGCGGTGAAGGAGCTGAAGCTAACAACCAGGAAGATACTGTCCACTTCAGGATTGGGGCAGTCATTCTGGCCGGTGGCAGCTAAGGCTTGAAGCAGGTTCCCAAGATGCTGACGAGATTTGGCTTGAAGGTCTTGGTGAAGAAGCGGAGGTATGCGGCTTCGGGAGCTCTGATTCGCTTGGAGTTTGATGAGCGTTGGTCCGAGGGTGTTTATTTGGGTCTTTCTGATCAAGTTGCCGGAGGACACCTGGTTTATGTCGATGGCATCTTCACCCACACTCGAAGTGTACGGGACAAGGCGAAGCTAGTTGATGCGGGCGAGTATCAGCTTGAGGAGGAACCAGAAAGGTTGGGTTTTGAAGATGCGATGGTGCCCTCGCCAAGGAGAAGAAGAATACATGGCAAGTCGGCTCCTCGTGTTGCTGTTCTCGAATGCAATCCCAATCTGGAACCCTACGATGATGACTCACCGAGCGATCAGGAGGAGATCTGAGCTTCAAGCCATGTCCTAGAGAGTGGGAAAGGTGAAGAAGTTGTGTCGGCACCTCGTGTGGCAGTTCGTGAAGGCACCTTTGTTCTGGAACGCTACGATGATGACCTGTCGAGCGATCAGGAGGAGATCTGTGGCTACAGCCATTGGGTTGGAGATGCTCGAGATAGCCGTGAGGTTCAGAGTCCTCGTGTTGCTGTTCTCGGACGCAATCCCGATCATGAACCCGACGAAGATGACTCACCTGGCGATCAGAAGAAGATCCGTGATTTTGAGGTGTATGCACAGACAGTCCTGAGCCAAGGTCTTAGGATCGATGAGTCAGTCGTGGAGTGCTTATTTGCGTGATTCCCAGAAAGACTGATGCTCGGAGGAACACTGGTTTGCCGCCGAAGGTGGGCGTCGGGCATGTATCGCCATGGAGGTGTGCTAGGAGTCAGAAATTTCACCAAGGACTACCCTCTGGCTACCAAGGTTGTGAACTCGTTCATCCGTGAGAAGCTGGGTGAATCAGGAAGTTGGTCTACGCTCTCCATGCATCGGAATTTGAGCGTGAAGAGACACCGCGATTCACACAATGCAAGAGACAAGGAGTCTCACCTCATTCCCATCAGCAACTTCAAGGACGGAGGCTTATGGATTCAACTTCAGGCCGACGAGGAGATCAATGCTGAAGAAGTTGTTGTGCTGGATGGAGAACGAGGTCGTGTGAAGTCCTTTCAGTCTGAGGAGGGGAACAAGCGGATCATCTCGTTCAACTCAAGGAGATCGCACGCTACAAGGCCGTGGAGTGGAGACCGACTAGTCTTAGCAGTTTACATGTGAGGGGCCTTGAGAAGATCAACAGTTTGGATGAGGAGATTGTCGAGGGCTTAGGCTTCCAGCTACCCCAAGAACTGATGAGTTCCCAAGCACCGAGGATATGCAAGCTTCTGGACAATGAGGGTGGAGAGACTCAGGAACCTCAACACATGGAGATGGAGCTGGAGGCGGTGGAGACCTTCATGCATATCCGAATGACCGAGGAGGAGTGGAACTCTACCAGCGCAAGATATGGAGCGGATCACTACATCGCGGAGATGGCTGCGACGTGGAGGTACATCAATCCTCAGGATGGAGACCTGAACTCTGTGATCCCTAATGACAACAACCAGGGCTCCGGGTTTCGATCCAGATGGGATGTCAGCGAACTGGATAAAGGCCTGCAAGGTTTACAACGAAGTGCTGAACATCGAGGAAATGGCTGTTCTTTGGACCTTGGATTCATCGTCGGGTTGTGGCCCGCCCGGTTGAGCCTGATGGACCGTGTGAAGATGGTGGAGAGAACCTCCTGTGCCAGACCTGGATTTTCGTGGTGGAATACCAAGGTTGGCAGGTATGGGTGTTCAAGGGCAAGAGGATCTTCTGCGTTTTGTGAAAGGGGAAGCCCGGATGAGAAAGGCAGCCTTGGAGAACCTGTACACGGCCAACATCGAGAAGATTCTGGACGCAGTTGATGAAGGAAACCCTTTAAAGGTGACTCGTACTGTTGATCCTCGAGAAGTTCTACCTGTGGTCGATAAGTGGGTCCCGGCGATGCAAGCGGAGCTCACGGCGTTGGAACAGATGCCAGCCATAAAGCGCTACAAGGGAGCTGAGGCGAAGGTGCGGAGGCAAGACCCTAACATCGTGATTGTGCCAAGCAAACTGGCGTTCACGGTGAAACCTGGAGCAACCCCTGGAACTTATAGCCGTAAGGTCCGAGGAGTTGCATGTGGCAACTTCTCTGGAGAGTCTGCGGAGGAGCTCGGTGATGTTTCTTCGGCTGGAGCCACGACAGATCTGGTGAGGCTGTGTCTGTCTGAAGTCAACGCCAACCCAGGCTGGATTGCGGCCACCGATGACATCAAGACGGCGTTTCTCAGAGCTCCAATTACTGAGCAGCCGAATGGGCGAAGGTCTGCAATGGAAGCCCCTAGGGCTATGGTGCGGGCAGGCTTGGCGGAGCCAGGAGAGCTGTGGCTGGCCACAGCTGCCGTGTATGGATTTCAGCGACCAAAGTGGTGGTCAGAGTATCGCAACACGATGGCGCGAAGGCCAAGGTATGCTTCACCTACCGGAGGAACCATGAAGATTGTAGCCTGCGTCACGGACGAGAACTTGCACAAGCTCGTGGAGGTCTACGATGATGGGAGTGAACATATCAAGGGATATGTCCTGTTCTACGTGGATGACACCCTGGCAGTGGGAACCCCAGAGTACGTGCACGGCTTCTACGATTGGCTGGGAGCTACGTGGGAGACCAGTGGAAGAGAGGTGTTGAACTGTGAGATTTCTTGGGTTGGAACTTTCGTTGACGGAGGAGGGTGACATGAAGGTCAATCAACGGGGCTACATTGATGAGCTGTTGCGCAAGCACCAGGTGAACACCTACAGCAAGATCCCCTTTGTCAAGGAATGGGCCACCGACGGGATTCCCGAGAGCCCCAACGCTTGTGAAGGAGGCCCAGCAGAGGTGTGGAGAAATCCTCTGCACGACCCAGAGGTCGCGCCCAGATGCTTCCTACGCCTACGCGGCGATGGTGATGGCGAGACTTACGACCAGAGATCTATTGAGATTGCCAAGAAGATCTTGTCCTACTACAACGGCACGAGGGATGCTGGTTTTGTGGTTAGCCGAAACCAGCCCCGCGACCTGGTGATGTATAGCGACGCACCACATTCCCCAGCGGGGGGAAAATCAATCTCCGGCACCGTGGTGCTATGGAGGGGGCTTCCGGTATGCTGGAGGGCGGCGAATCAAGGACTCACCGCTTTAAGCAGTGCCGAAGCAGAACTTATTGCCCTGAGTGAGGGAGCTCAGCTTGTACGGTCAGTGAGGACTACGTTGCAGGACATGGGCATCTTCCCGGACAAGTGCGAGCTGAGGGTGGATGCCACTGCGGCGATTGCGGTGGCAAACTCCGGGGGCAGCTGGAGAACACGTCATCTACGACTACGTGATCACTGGCTGGCAGAGTTGGTTGATTCAGGTGAGTATCAGCTTCTACATCAACCTGGATTAGACCAGCTTGCAGATGGCCTCACGAAGCAGCTCGCTTCGGAGAGATCATGGAGGCTTTTTGAGGCCTGGGGCTTTGTGAATGGACCAGCTCTGAGAGGTAACGTTCTTCGAGGGCGAGGACGTGGAGGCAGCAACAGCAGATTCCACAGCAGCAGCAGCAGCAGCAGCAGCAGCAGATTCCACCGCAGCAGCAGCAGCAGCACGCTCCACAGCAACAACAGCAGATCTCACAGCAACCACCGAGCACCGAACACTTGCAACAGTTGTGAATGGAAGGACCAGGAGTAGGTGCATCCAGGTTGTAATAGGTCTTGGGTTGGTTGCTGGCGTGTTCGGAGACAAGGACCTCCAGGAGTACACTGGTGTGGACTCTGATCATGAGCTTTGTATTGCTGTGTTGATTGTGATGATCACTACAATTTTGGTTTGGGAGTGGTCAAAGAAGGCTGCTGGAGGAGTGAAAAGAGCTGTAAAAATGAAGATGCTGAAGCCAGCCGCGAAGCATGGCCTCTCGAAGCCAGAAGGGAAGGAGCTACTGGGACTTTTGGGGCTGGAGACAAGATCGGTCGAGCAAGAGGCGCGTCTTGCTGTACTGATCAACAAGTTTCAGCTCCAGAACTCTGGAGGGCTTGGAGCTCCTGATGGTGAGGCAGAAGTTTCAAGCGATTCAAGAGGCCGACGAGATTCTACTACTTCGACTTCAAGGTGTGCAATCAGAGAGATGGAGTCGAGGGGTCCAGACGGATCCCGAGCCTGCAGTCTCTCAAGGAGCCGTTTTTCCTTCAACAGTGGATTCGAGCATTCGGTACATTGTGCAGCCTTGGGAAGGAGATCTGTATGTGAGTCCGAGTGGAGACCGGATTCACATCAGACCTGACTGTCATGGTCTTCGACACGCATCCCGGGCTATCAGAAAGCCTATGTGCCAATACTGTTTGAATGACTGGAGGAATCGGCCGGAATTGACCAAGCCCGGGTCTTCAGGACGATGAAGGGGTGATGCAAGCCCTTTCGGACGCATGAAGGACGGGTGCTGATGCATGAAGCCCCTGCCTTTTGTACAGCGCACAGGCGGGGCCATGTGCTGTGTCAGGAACTTTGAATGGCCGAAGCGGAGTGGCTCAAGGAGCCGTGCAAGCGTTTGCATTTCTATGCCCTTCCCGGCAGAAGCCAAGCACAAGAAGCCAGCGAACCGGCATAGCAGACACACCGCATGTGTACACAGAAGTCATGCACGCGGTGTCTTGCGTTTGTGTGCGAAAAGAGGGTTTTGTTAGGGATCGTCCGATAAAATTGCAACGATACTGAGGAGGCGTCGCTTTCGTATGCAGGCCGAGGCTGAAGAGCGGGTAGGCTCAGCTCTTCTACTACTACTACTACTACTACTACTACTACTACTTTTTTTGGCTTTGGAGTCGCGACGAACGTCTCGGTGTCCGCCTCGCGTGCTAGCGAGCAAGCATAGGAGCTCGGCTGCATTGCAGCGTTATCTTAGATAACCTCGAAACAAAAGTGCCACACCCTGCGCTGCCCCTTGGGGCCAAGCACGCAGTAGCCCGAGCCGTAGCCCAGCAGCAAGTGCAGCGACCAAGAATATTGCGAACTGTGGAAGCAAAGTCTGGAATAAATAAAAATTGGAACCGGTAAAAATTGGAACAGAATCGAGAAGGCTGAGCTCAGCGAGCAATGTTACAAGAAGTACACTCCCAGCCCACTACCTACCGCCCACTTCACTGGTACAGATCACTCTTCAACGAGGACGCAGGAGGCAAGCCACGAAGTCGCCTGAAGGCCCGCATGACGAGCAGCGCACCACCGAATGCACCGCAATCCAGGAGCCGGACTCTCCAATTGCGCATGACCTCAGTTGAAAAAGAGACTAACCGCCCTGCAGTCCGCCACACCACATCGCCCCAGCAATCTCCACTGCCAAGAGCTGGTTTTTCGTGCGGCTCGATTGCAATGGCATGCTCAGTTAAAGTGGCCCAGCTTAAATCCCAAATGCTTGAGAGACCTCCGATTGGCTTCCGAAATTCTGCGAACTTGCCCGATATGGTACGCGATCAGCAAAAGCCTAGTGCCAGCCCATGGAAGACTGGCGTGCAACGACCTAGGGGAAAAAGCAGTCGGCGCTGTCATATCCACAAGGTGACCCTTCGGCCCATCGGGACTAAGCTGCGAGAGACCCTCAGGATCTTCCACAAACAGCCCCCCTCCCAAGAAGCGAGACATAGGCATGGCCAGATTCTGTGATGCGCTGTGGCTGCGCCGCCACGTTGAGGGTGAGAGTAACCGTGCTAAAACACAATGCGTCATCCCATGTAGAAACAATGCTTGCCAGCACACATGTCACCCACGGATAAGGGCGAGTGGTAAGGGTAAGACCTGTCATAGGCCCCCGATTCCATGCCCCCGTAGTGAACCTACGAGGCTGATGAGCGTACGCCTCGGTTTGGCTCCAGCGCAGATTCTTATCCCTTGGCAGCAAATTAGTCAGACGCAACAGCTGTTTCCAGCTAGCCTGCCCATGGACCACCATGGAAAAAGCGAGGAGCTCCGCCGGATCATCTGAAGGATACTGAAGCTTTTCAGCCTGAACCCCCCTGACCAAGTACAAGTCCAACTGAAGAAAATCATATTTTAGATCCACCTCCGTCGGCATGAGAGCCCGAGCACCAGCACAGTACACCCCATGGTACACATAGGACGGCTGCGTCAGGAAAGGCGCAAGGATCTCTGAGCTGCGCGCGATCTCCACCGGACTCCCTACGAGGGTCTCCTCGTCGGATGTGAGGTCCACGATTTCTCACTCCAAATCAGAACCCAGCAGAGAGACCGTGTCCACCATGATACATGTATCGGGACCCTAAAAAAACAGAGCTGCACTGCCAAAAGCCTCGAGCAACATTGTGAGAATGGACAACCACCGAGAAGATGACCACAGCATGCCGCAGAACATGCAATGCTGTAGGCTCACCAAGCGTTGGTAAAGCACACAGTCGGAGGCACGAGGCGCTGACCAAGGCAACCTGCATGATGATGTCCACGTCCACCAAAAAGCACACCTCAGAGCCGCGCAACCCAGCATCAAGCATCCAGTGGAGAACAGAAACACAAACACATGCTGTTGTCACCTGCTTCCTCCCAGCGGGCGTCAGCACCTTGTGAATTAGCACTGCATCGGCACCTGGTGAGGCAGCACTGCTTCGAGCGCCGCATAGCGCAAAAGCTCGCAACATAGATCAAAAAGCCCCACTGCACACTACCAGAAGCACGGCTATTACCACTTCCAGAGAGAAATGCGGGGTCATGGCATTCACCAAAAGCGGATCCCGCAGCGAGCTGCCAAGCGAATCCCAAAAATCAGCGAAGCACTCAGCCGTGGATTTCAGCGGTTGCCAGAGTACTTGCTCAGGTAGTCTGCGATAGCGTTCGCCAGCGCGGATCGTGCATGCCGGTCTTCTTTAAGCTGAGCAGCAAGCAAATGCATGACAGAGCAATAGCAAAGCTTCCGCAGCATGTCCCGCATTTCAGCGGATGATTCCCCATGCTGGCCCGTCTGGAGCAGGAAAACAAGGTTCTGACCAGTCATCACCTGCGTCATCGGCCGCGTCGGGTGAAACCGCGCCGTGGTGAACTTCCGCGGGATCAAAGTGATGAGACGCCCAACGCACTCCAAGATCTCCACCTGGCTGAGAGGAGGGCTCGAGGTGTCCACGACCTGCTGCTGTTTGTGCAAAACTTTGCATCCGTATGTACACGTACATTTTGGTATCCGTTGGACGGTACTTGAAACTCTCTTTTGCTTTAAAGCTTTGAGCTCCGTTTTCAGTTGTACAGCCGAAGACTTGAGATTCTTGCAGGCGCTTTTGTCCGAGCGAAAATTGTCATGGTAGCGGAGCGCTACAGCGCTCTGGGGAACTTTGGTTTTCTGGGTGAACTTTGGAAGTTCAGGGGCCCAGGCTTTGAAACGTGTCTTTTGACTTTGTGTTGGGTGTCTGCTAGGCTTTGGAAGCCGTAGATTCGCCCATGGCTGCTCCTAGTGCTGAAGAGTTCGGGCAAGATGCAGAGATGGCTTCGCAGCTTCCTCAAGCTGCAATGGGCGCTCAGGCGGCTCAGGCCGCACAGGCTTCGAATCCTTCTGGGGGTGCGTCTCCTGGTGGTGCTACGCAAGCAGAGCAGCAGCTAGTGATGATTTTGGCTTCGTTGCAGCAAAATCAGCAAGCGATTTTACAGATGATGAGAGATCAGTCAGACCAGCGTGCTCAGGCTCAGAGTTCTCTTGAAAGCCTGCGTGGGAAGGATTTGTCAAAGGTCCTAAATGCCCCAAGTCCTTTTGAAGCAAAGACTAGAGATGAAGAATTGGCCCGATGGGCCAACTGGAGCTGGGGACTTGAGTCATGGATCATTACTTTGGACCATGGCTTTGCTGCGGGTATTGATTTGATCAAGGCGCAAGGAA